GTATCTTATGTCTACTCTTGTGTAAACTAATACCCACCTTCCCTCCACAGTTTTTAAAAATTGAGATGTGTGCTTGGTGAGATAATGTAAATAGACGGTACTAGAGAATATACTACTACTATGTATGAAGATTAATTAAACAAAAAGATGATGGCTTTTAGTGGGCACAATACGCTTCTTTCCACTTTGAGCTCATCCTGTTTAGAAATTGATCCATTACCTAAGAGCATCTTGAAACTTCAACCTCCTGCAGCTTCTGTGATGGCACGTCAAGTTAAATACACATGTAAAAAAGGTAACAAAAATACCCATAATCATACAGTCTCCACCTAGGCTAATATGTAACAAATATGATGCCCCTAATTTGGCTGTCAACTGTGCTGCCAAAGACAATATTCCTGCAGCCAACAGGTAGGGAAATAGCTTTTACAAGAGTGATAGAAAGGAGATGGTGACTTCCCTGGTCATAGAAACAATAATCATAAATCCATATTGGGCTGTTTTCTATTCTTTTGCATGCTTGCAATAGAGATCTATTATGCTTTGCCACTGTTTTAAATATTAATGTGAAATAACTTTTTCACAATTACACTTCACAATTAAACATTCGTATGTTGAATTTAGCTTCAATTTATTGTATATCTTGTTTGTTCTTTAATAGTCTTATATACAGGAGTTACCCATTATACTCTTATATTATGATAACAGGCTAAATGAAGATGGATGTGCCACATGATGTTGAAATAATTCCAGAGTCAAAAATGGAGTCAGTTGGCAAAAATAAGTTCTTCAATATGAAACAGATGCAGCAAACTTCAGATGTTTGGCATCAGATACCATATACCAAAGAGTGAGTATAGGGTTTCTTTGCAGAGCTGCCATTATGTATTCAATCAGTCACCCATCATACTGGGAGTTTTTTGTAGAACAGGCAACTGCTTGAGTTGTGCAAGGAGCATACCACTGTTTCTTAGAAAGAAATACCCATACTGCAAATATACTTTCACTATCACCACACTATCACTCTCGTTATTGGTCAGTTGACCTCAAGAGAACCACAACTCTGAGCCACAAGATCCAGTGGCTTGACCTTGTGGCTTGGAACTGTGGGAACTGAAGCAAATGTAGACAATCGTAGTAAAACAAGAAATGAACAAGCCAGGTTGGGATCAAACAACTTACAACTCTTTCTCGCAGACAAACTCTTCAAATGCAGAAAACAATTGAGCAGAGCTTCTGGTAAGTATGAGTGGGGATAAAGTGCACGGACAGCAGCACAGAGGAGGAGAAATACCCCATTCTAGGCCCCTCAAAGTTGGTTTAATATCAAGAACTGGCTCGTTCTGTCTCTCATACACACACACACGCACACACACACACACACACACACACACACACACACACACACACACACACACACACACACACGCGCACACCAAGAACAGTATGGCCTCAGACCTGGCAAGCAGCACTCAAGTTCTTGGAGCAGCTTTCTCTCTAATTTAAAGTTGATTGCCGTGGGCCCTGTGTGTGTGACTAGTGAAATATGAGTGTGGAGAAGAGAGTAGGGAGGCTTGGACCGAGTTTAGGTCTGTGTGCTGGTGATTATGTGAAGTACTGGATAGTCTGAATTTGTGCCTATGCATGTATATGTGCATGCATGAGTCTGTGTGAAGTTCTAAGTGGAGCCTGTGCATACGTGTGTGTGTGTGTGTGTGTGTGTGTGTGTTTTTGTGTGTGTGTGTGTGTGTGTGTGTGTGTGTGTGTGTGTGTGTGTGTGTGTGTATGTGGTTTTTGGCCGAGGCTAGTGCAGAGATTGGACTGCCAGTGGGAGCTGTCTGCAGGGAATCAGGCGAAGCAGAAGGCAAACTGAAAAACAGTACCTTTTTCAAACTAGAATGAGGAGTTTGGAAGTGAGTTTAAGTGAACCGAACTGTACTAAAACTGAACTAAAATAGATTAAGTTAGATCTCTGTAGGTCAGTAAACTGCAAAAAGAGAAATCTTAGACTTATGTAAGGATTTTGATTTTGGAACAATGGGGCAGGTGTAGGTTAAATCCCTGTCTCTGATTGGTTCTTCCACTCTGAGCATCCATGGGATTAATTGCGTGATACATTAAGAGCTACTCTTAGAAGTTACTCCCAATGTTAACTAATTAGAGGTAATTCCTCTTGATAAAGCAAGTAACTTTTTACTTTCACTTCCCTCCTTCACAAACCAAACTGAATGTATTGTGTATGTTGCCTTAACTTTTAGGATTTTCATTAACATTATTTCTTACGCCCTGACAGGCTTCAAAATGTGTAGATGTCTGCCATGTTTGAAATAAGGTTTTACACTATTCTCAGATATCCAAGCCCCTTGGATTTCCCTTATTTCTTTGGATAACCCTGTAGCCCCCCGAGTCCAAAGAGCCCATTTGCTCACTGAGTGTATTTCTGAATAATCTTTTAACAGATTTCTTTTGGTCGCAATGTTTGTAAACCAAAAATACACTCCAGTTTTCCTTTTATAGAGACAGAAGACCTGGGACTCCATGGGCAGGCTAACTTCCCAGAGGTAAACAGCAAGGTGCCTTGTGTCTAGTTTTTCTTACACTGTGCACATTTACAGTAGTTTCAATGTGGTGAAGTGGTCACAAGAGTGGAAGAGCTGAGGTTCTGCTAGACAGTATCAAAGCCAGCTTTCTTTAATGTACTGTGAAATTAAAACTGAGGAACATCTTCTTGATCAGGCCACCCAGTCTGTGAAGCAAAAAATCCATTAATAGCAAACACTGTGGTAACTGACAGAGATACTGCAGGGTTTTGAATAGGTTTTAAAGCAAAGAAATAAGCAGTGATCAAACTGGAAACCATTGAAAACCTGGCAAACAAGACTGGCTGAAGCGATTCTGTCGTTCAGTTTTACTGCCACATGGGAGTGCAGGGGGAAAATTGCCTCCAATTGGTCAACAGACGGCCAACAAACTGCAGTCTATGAGTGTAAAGCCTTCCCTTCCATGTCTCAAGTAACCAAAAGTGACAAACCACTTGTCTACAAAAGAGGGGGAGAGTCCTAAATTGGTCAATATCGCCAATTGTGATGAGGACAACTTTGCCCTTAAAGAAGGAAACACACACCAAACTCTGACCACCCTACAACCGATCATGCATGGCTCCTCTGTACTGAACACCTTGAACAAATTCTGAGCTTATTACAAAAGACTAAAATCCTTAATGAAAACCAAAATTCCATCCTTTGTCAACATTTAAAGCAGCAAGGAGTAATGGTGTAAGAGCCACAATTGCCTGGCAAAAGTTTCTGAAAAAAGGTTCTACAAATATAAATAAGATGAAAAACTTGTATGTTATACATGGATGGATCTAGCCACACACAGTGCAGGGTAATCACTAGCTTGTTATTTACATTCATACATCCTGACTCCCCGATTCATCTCAAATGTGTGATTTTCTATATGATTTGAAAAAACAGAAAACTTCAACCAAAAACAACCAAACCAACTCAATGACCCCCGCTGAAATACTAATAGTTTCAATACATGAATGTAAATCTCCCTCAGTGCCCACAACATGTGCTCTGTACAACATTACATATTTTCACTGCATCATCTCTTTGAAGCATCGCAGACCGGCCTGCTTGATAAACACGAGCGTACACTGACGTCATGTTTCAGGATTTGTGGGTAAGGTTCAAATTCTGCCACCGATATGCAATGTGCAATGTTACATAGCGATGCAACAACACAGATCCAACATTTTAATCTTCCTCCTAAACAAGTTTGACTTTCTCAGTGGATTCAAGCAGAAGAGTGCTGTCTCCCTTTGAACAATGAACTTTGACCCACATGTCGCCTAAAATGGGGAGACATCTGAGAAAGACCAACAAATTGAGTTAATTTGGAGCAAAAGAGCTGGCAGCCAAATCTCTCTGCCCTTCTTCTGCCATCTACCTTTCCCTCTCCTACTCCTGAGACGCCCCCAGGCTTCATCTTTCTGCTTGGTGTGTTTGCATTCCAGTTGAGCTCTATTTAAAGGCTTGATTACTCCACTGGCTGGAGGAATGCACATCTGTACAGAGACCCCGTCCCACTGTCTCTTGCCTTTCTCTCTCTGTCTGTCTGTCTGTCTGTCTGTCTGACTGTCTGCATGCGTGTAAAGTATTTGTTTCCAATTGCCGACTTGGTGCATTAACCTTTACTGCTGCCCCGGAACTATACTTGTGCATGTAAATATACAAAAAAGAGAGAGAGCAGGATGAAGACTAATGTTGTTTATCACATCAACAAGTGCTTTTGAATGACTCACAATTTCAACGCTTCATCTAAAACACTGTCAATAGTGTTCCTGTGGCTGAATTTGAGAGCAAGAAGCAAAACAAGTAAATGAAAGCCAATGCACAAACGGTGTTTTTTAAATATTATTTACCAATAAAATATATACAGTGGACACAGCTTACAACCCACACTTGCCACAAAAATACCACATAGGCTATGAGTCTATTGAAGTTCATTAATTTTAACAGTATATTACATTTTAAATCAAGCCAAATTTCTTCAATGATATCTGTGTGCTGCTACAACTTTCACCAGTAACAAGTCTAACTTAAAATTGAACCCCAGCAACATGTTTCACCAACAGTGAAGCCCGTGTTCAGTTTATCTAACAATTATCAGACATAAAGTTACAATACATGATAGAGTAACGCCATTCATTTATGTGTGTATGAGGCACAATTATACGGCATTTAATTAAAAGACATGTTATATATAGCAAGGGTTCGGAGTGCAATACAAGCTAAAGAGGGACCAACATGTAAGCTAGCAACATGACACATCCCCACTGTGAATAACATTGGAGTGAATTTCCCCTCTGTTCCCTCCTGTTCCCTCCTGTCCCGTGGAGTGAGGCGGATAAACTTTTCGCCCCCCACACGCGCAGCTTCATAGCCGCTAATTCCCACCCGCCCGGTTTGAACACTTTAAATCACCAAACTTACCTTGGAAAATGTCCCCCCCGAGTCAAACAGGCATTATTATATTGTCTTCTTCCATGGTTGGGAGTTTTTCGAGTTGTTCTTCGGCTCCCCGGAGAGACTGGAGACGGGCTAGCGGGGCAGGAGAGCAACAAAGTCGGACTAGGAGGAGGAGGAGGAGGGGAGAAAGGAGGCCAGGCAAGTCGGCCGCCACCTGGTTGGAGGAGTCGGCTGTCAATCATCCTGGCTGTGTGGGCGGATCCTAACTGTAAAGGGATTATGGTGGCTGAGATATCAGCACTGATCCCAGGTCGGAGGTCTTAGGAATGTGTATTGGAAAAACACATCCAACAGGCGTTGTAAGGTGGTATTTAAAATTGTATTCATTTTTAATTTTAATTAATGCAAATAACCAAACTATTTATGCAGTGGCTTTGTATAAATATATCTATAAAAGCCAGTGATAATAAAAAAAAATATTACTTAATAATATATTTTTTTAAATGTAATTGATAATGTATTTATTTTAATGCATTGATGTAATCTTTATTTGGATCGAGGTTAATTTTCAAATAATCAAACTATAAAAAACATTTTTTTTTATGATGAGCTTTTGCATTGGTTTAAGTCAGGGGTCTCAAACTCAAAGCTTGGAGAAGCTTCTGGTAAGAAAGTGTAATATTCTGAAAATATTTCCATTACTAAAATCATACTTAGCAAAAAAGAAAATTTGTCAGGAAATGGCACCCGGGCTGGCAGTTTGAGACTCCTGGTTTAAACGAGTGGGAAAAATGGTGAAAATGTGTGCCAATATAAATACATTGAAATAACATGAATTATCTCAATTAGTGGTAAGAACAAGTAGGACATGAGGGACATTTGTGTAAACTGTGTTGTCTCCCACTAATTGTACACATATGTGTCCAAAGGCGTTGAATATAGCAGTATAGTCCACAAATGCTCTTTTCAGCCAGCTCATTAAATCAGTTCAACCATCAACTGATCACGATTGGCTGTCAAATAGTTTCCCATTTACACAACAACAAGTAGCATCACTCAGGAGATGGGGCCGGTAATACAAATCTTTGAATAATACATCTATGCTTAGTAAAACCCTGGGCCTGGAAGGAAAAACAAACTTTTCCAGATTTTACACAGTTATCCAGCCAGATTGTGAAAACCTGCTTCATGAGCTTACCTGTTATGTGATGAGTACAGAAACACATTAAATCCATTAATGGTCCCAGTGCTCTATGCAATACATTGGATGATAGTAACATCTCATTATCCGAAGTACTGACCTTTTGTTCTCCCTCGTTAATGTAAATGGGGGTGGGAAAACACATCTGTCAATGTAATGCAGTCTCATACACAGCCTCGAAATGACCGTAGGGAAGAATCAACACCTCTCTGATACTGTCAACAGAAACTGAAGGGTTATTCTAAACAAACATAAGATTCATTGCAGGGGTGTCATATCAGATTGCATTTCATTGTACAGGGGTGCATAATAAACAGGTAACTCTATACTGTAATGTCTTTGGTCTTGCATGATTATGACACATCTCATACAGACCACATTCAAGATTTTACTGTTCATTTTAGGTTCAGTATCTATGTATTTTTTTTCTTAACAGTTACAACAGTACACAGTAGTAGAAGCCATATGCTCTATTTTGGGCTGTTTATTTGTGAATCAACTTTGACCTTTGACCTGGACAAACTGGACAAAAACAATCTGGATGAAAACTGTGGCAGTTGGTATCCCGTCCACTCATCAGGCAAACAACACAGACATCAATTATTCCGAGGAAAATGGGGAATTCCAATTTGAACAAATCCAGCCACCCCCATGCTGACCCTGACCTGTCAGTTGGAAGACTTACAGTCTCATTAGGAACAGGAGAGCAATGAACCAGGACCAGGCCTTTAAAGAGAATTTTGCTGGTGTACAATGGTGTACATTCAAATCTTTTTTAACATTTTAGGCTGTAGTTTGTGTTGTTGTTGTTGGTGCTTCTTGTTTCCTGACAGCTTGTCCATCTTTTCTTTCTTTTTATCTGGCTCTGAGTTTATCCGCCTGTCCATCTGCTGTACTGTATGAATCAGTGCACCTGTCAGTCTGTTCCCATCTGCCTATCTTTTGTCTCACCTGTCTTTATCTACACTTCCTCTGTCAGAGCTGTCAGTGTTTTTTTGTATATCATTTAGCTATCTCTGTTTATGTTGCCTTTTTTTCTAACTTATCTAACACCTCTCTTATCGTACATATTCATGTGCATCATTCTAGGCTTAATTTTAGCAGCTATGATTTTTTTATGGTTCCTTTTTTATTATGCATATTGTATTTATAACAGACAGTAAATCATCTTCCTCTTTAAGATTTTGTATTGTAACATTTTTTGATGGCTGTTTATGATAGAAACTGTAAAATAAATGTGGATTTATAATTACATACTGTATGATGATCTTGTTTTACTGTCTGACGAAAGTTTGTACTGTACCCCTGCTTAAAATTCCAGTTTTTGACATTTCTTGAACAATGATAAATAGACCTTTTTCCACAGCAACCATTTTGACATGAAATAGTAGGGTGAACGCAGGTGCTACCAATGATACTAATTACGGTTTCATTCCAGTTAGAGTAGCAAAGCCTTTCCAGTGAACCAACATGCACAATAACAGCACTCTGTTTGACCTAAATGGAACAAAGCCTTAATTAGGATCACTGGTAGCACCTGTGTCTCCTATTTCATGTCAGAATGACTGTGAAAAAGGGTCTATTACATGCAGCAACTGAACAGTCAGGAGTAACCACCTTATTAAGGACTAATACTGATGAAAGGTGCAGTGAGTATTGAGGAGAATGAACTTATGTGTATGGCTCTCTTATCTCTATTCACCAGGCTACTGCGCTTTTAGACTTTGAAATTGCTCATAAAGTGCACTTATTGTATTCAAGTTTCTCTGTTATCAAACACAACTCTTGAATGACAATGCAGTAATTTAGCCTCTTCAACCACCTGTTGCATTATGTGATATGGTGCTGCTTCCCCCTGCTGTGCACTCTGACTCATTACAGGAGTCTGTCAGCAGAGGTAGTTTGCATCCGTGAGTCTATAGTCAGTGGTTTGCATATACTATCAGTACACGCACACCAGAAACTTCATAAAAACATCTTATTTTACCACTAACCTTATCTATCAGGTATGTGATTATTTTGTACCTGTATGGTTATATTTAAGTGTACGTAGGTTTATATGCAGCTTGAGCCTGTTTAATTAGGCTAATAAGACACCTAATTACCTCAGTAAAGGACTGTGAAGGAGTTGCTCACAGTAACAAACCCACACAGCATTTTCACTCAACTCTGACAAAGCTTTTCAGCCTCTTTCAGCTCATTGTCTTGGTTTGGTTCAGTCTCACCTCTTTCATGAACTTCATTTCCAGCATCGGGAGGAAGCTGTTTTCAGCAAAGAAAAAGCTCCAATAAACCAAATGTACACTATCTGTCCAGCATCAAACAGCAGACAGACTGATGAAGACAGAGTAACACCAAGATAAAGAGCCAGATACATTTCACAGACTAAAACAGAGCTAAAAGGAAAGTGACTATTGGACCTAAATTAGTCATGGGGCCAGAAAGACATCTTCACATTAATGTTAATGTTGCCTCTGAATGTAAGAATAGGCAAATGTTTGCCAACATGGTAGCCTTAAAAACTTCACAAACCAATCTTGAGTCAGGGCTGCATGTCTGTCAGCTTGTTGTGGAGGTGTTGTGCCCCCTCATGGCCCAAGCAATCACTTTTTTTAGCAGGCAATGAACCAGTGTTTTCTGGGTGAAAGTTAATGGAGTGGACCTCTCTAATTTTCTTGCAGACAATCAGCATTTAGAATCTGAATAAGGCTGGTACACCTGAAAGCACCATGCATAAGGGTATTACATTATCAACACATTGCTGTTAACCATCACTCTGTTAAAGTTGAGTGAGAGGCATCCTATCACTCTTCCTGTCTGTCAGTCAACAGCTGAGGACATCCAGTGCACTATTCCACTCAGTTCCACCCGCTGATGTTTGTGCAGTTATTCAATGCTATCAGTATAGTTCAAACCGTTTATCACATGATAACAAATGTTCTGGACAGGATGTTGATGTACCTACAGTAGAACTGTAATGTGGTTCTGCTGCATGCTGTAGTTTGCACATTGACTCACAACAGATAAAACCAGCTGGGATTGAGTCAGAAAAGTGCCTCGTCCACTCATCTAAAGAAAGCAACAATATTCACATTGACACGTCACATTGGCAGGCTACACACCCACATAACACACATGACTGCAAACGCACAAAGAGCACAGAAACACCAGCACGCACACACACACACACAATGGCTCACTCTCTGTCACTCGCGCGCCAAAGCCGCTGATGGTTGTTAAATCCCTACATGCCGTCATTGCCAGGCAGCGGGTGGGTGTGGTCTTCGCTGGCTTGTTAAACATACCAGAGCTTAAATGCTGAACAGCCACTGCCATTCACTAATAACGCCCTCCCTCTTTCTCTCTTCCTCACTCACATTATTTCTCTCACTGTTGCTCCACCATTCACTTGGTGAAGTCCTGTTTTTTTCAACATCAGAAAGGTAAAGATTTGTAATTTAATGTAGTTTCTCTGTGTAGCCTTTTCTCTGTCATTATCTATTGCATTATTTTAAGTCTTTTAATGTCTCTCCTGTTTTTTTTTTTTTTGCTGCTTTTTCACCATCAGTTTGCTGCAAGTGGTTCAGCTCCAGTAAAGTGTCCTGATCATCTGAAGCCTTTTTCTGGAGATTCATCCTTCACACACTGCTTTGTGGTGGTCATTAAGTAAAAATGTCGGTCCTGTTGTCAGTGCTGATATGCCTTGTTGTCCAGCTGTGTATGGGAGATCAGCCTGTGGAGGAAGTCATCACAACAAGTAAGTGCTGATATAAGAACATATCACATAAGACATGGGGAGTTACAGAGGCGAGACATTTAAAATAATATCATAAGACGGAGAATAAACTAGTGTTGTGTTGTGTTATCTTTCTTTGGGAGAACAGACTTTGTAGCTTGATATAATTTTCAAGAAATTGAAATTGAAACAGGAGACAGACTCAAGACAAACACACATGTCATATATCTGGTCAATTAATGGGCAGAT